GCAGGAAACTGCTGTCAGCAAACAATTGAACTCTGTGAGTGTCAAAGCTTGTTTTAAACTGTATGGAAATGATGGATGATGGGTGATGATGGTTGGTGGAGCTGCACCTTTCCCTGTCACCTTCGGTCTAACCTCTTTGAGCGAGGGTATCTTTTTGTACCACCATAACCATATCTCAAACCTTCTCTTTTGGCTTTGGCATCCTCATTCTATACCTAGTATCATGTTTAAGTATGAAATATGATTTCATACGTGCTCTGACAGCTGTAGCTTCTAATTATAAACTGTGTCTAATTCTATGCTGTTTTATTCTCAGTTTCATACCTGTATTTATGTTGCACATTGCTGTAGAGCCTAAGCCAGCTCAGCTGACTTTGGAATTTTTAGCTTTCCAGTGCTATGTCCTCGCTGCAGCCACAGCTCTGCATGGACAACACAGATCTCTGTACTCAGTGGTTCTCTTCCAGTGTCTATTTTGCTCTAGCCATGCTAATATGTGAGCTCTGGAGAAATGGAGGGATCACAGTGACAAGGAACCAGGCTGAGCTCTTCTTCCTTACCTTCCCTACCCTACTCTAATATCATTTGATACTGTAACAATATGATTCCTTAGTTCAATAGTTTCTTTTTCTTGTTTCCATAGAACAAAATTCATCCTGCTCCTCCCACCTTCCCTGATCACCAATAGATGTTTGTGCACTTTCTCCAGATAGAGGCTAGATCCAAAGTGATTTAGGTACTCTTCCCATCCCACTTTGGGTATTTAGCCATTAAGGTCCCAAACTAATTAAAAAAAAAAAAAAAGCTGCAATCGTTCCTCTCCCCCCCATGCCTACATGTCTACAAATATTTGCTGGGATAGATATTCCTGGAGCACTCCTAACACGTGTCAAGGGAATGCTTTACAAAATGCAATGACAGCTACCTGTTTCTTGTAAGGCACTTGTGCCTCATGGGAAGTGGTAATTGATCGAATACATTGGATAAAAAGCAGCCCTTGATCTCTGATTTCTGCTCCAGAACCCACATTTGTTCTCGTTTCCCCTCTCCCAGAGGGATGTCCTGAATTTAAACAGGGGAGGCCACCTTACTTTCTCTGGCTCACTTCACCTCCAGTTCCCTCCGGCACAGTGATATACATGCCACAGCTGGGTACGGGCTTTCATGGTCCTGGCCAGACCTCTATCCCAGCCATTGGGGTCCTCTCCTGGGTCAGGCAGGGTATGGGTTTCAGCCCCCTGGCTTCAGACAGGCTGGGCGTATTCCTTCCTGCCCCTCATGTCCATCTTTTTTCACTCTCTTCTTAAGGACAAAGAACAGCCCTGGTGTTTTTTAATGATGTGAAGGACTTTCAGCTGCTGTCTCTGGAGCTCTTCATGGTCCAGACACAGAGGTGCCCTGCTTCAGGGTGGGGGGGAGGAGGAAGCAGGGAGTGGGATTTTCAGATA